TTTTTAGATGATGAAAAGGTCTAGGTATGGTCACGAAGGCTGTGGTTGAGAAAAGGGGAAGTAAAGACTGCTGGTGGTGGTGGGGAGGCTAAAGACTGAATGGCAAGGCATGGGATGGGAGAGGAGTCAACACAAGGTGCTGGGGATGTAAGTGAGAAGTCTGATAGTATTAGCCCCAAAGGATAATGAGATTTTAGATGATGGAGATAAGTACTATGGGAATAAGAATGAAGAGTTAAGATAGAACAGAGTTCAAATTTCAGCCATAGAACTATGGTCAACTGAAAATTTCCCTAAGCCTCCGTTTTCTCCTCAATGAAAAGAGGCTAGTACATACCTCTAGTGGGTTATTAGTGATGATTAAAGAAAGTGCTTATAAATGTTTAGTACCGTGCCTGGCCCAAGAACTTAACTGTTACTTAAGATGACAGGAATACTAAATCTTTGTGAAAATATGTAGGAAGAATTATGGGAAGAACGAGGATGGTTTATAGAGCGGGTTTGGGATGAAAATGGGAAGAAATGTGAGCAACTTGGATTTGGTTTGGAGAGAATTCCAAAGGTTGCCTGACCTTTAGATTTGGAATGGAATTCTGATACCTGGGTCTTAACTCTCTTAGTAGCCTCGGATTTGTTTTGATAGTGGTTTCTTTACTTCCTTCCCTTCTGTCAAGTCTGTATTTATGTAGCCAAATACACAACAAATGCACAAAATTAAATGAACAAATTAAAATTTCTAAGAATGAGGAATGTTCCTTTTTCATTAACTTATTTTTATGGCAGAAATTTTATGAATATTTCAATTTAGTCTTACAAAAATTTGATTTTGAAACAATCTTAGATTTATAGAAGGGTTGCGAAAAGAGCACTGACAATTCTTGGATACCCTTCACCCAACTTCCTCAAATGTCAACATCTTCTGTAACTTGAATGCATTTATTAAAACTGAGACATTAACAATGGTACAATACTAAATTACTGAGGTTTTGCCAGTTTTTCTAACTCATGCTTTTTCTCTTCTAGGATCCAATCCAGGATCACACCTTGAGTTCAGATTAACATGTATCCTTAGTCTCCAATCAGTGACATTACCTTATCTTTCATGACCTTGATACTTGAGAAGAATCCTTATTTTGTAGAGTGCCCCTCAATTAAGGTTTCTTTCCTGCAGTATTTTTTCTGCTTCTAAAATCTATCCTTCGTTCCAGTCAGATTCGCGTAGTAAAATAGCACAGTGGTTCAATTAAGGTATAGTTTTTAATTAGAAAGTAATTAACTAAAGGAAAATTAGTTCTTGATGTTGCAACTCCCAGTTTCCCCAGGCAAAACTGTTTCAACATGTATATGAAGGTAGCACTATACATGAGTTACTTTATAATGTATATTAAGATATTAATAGAACATTAATCACAATACTCTCCACAGTTTTGATTTGATGACTGCTTAAGTATTTTTGAGATCTATTCAGCTAAATAGCCAACTAATAAATATCTGTAAGTGGGAAAACTATCTCCTATCCACTAAGTATTAGCCTCAAATTACTCATCTTGTCTTTTGCAATTACATTTTTATGTATTTCCTGTTCAGTCTTTGATTTACAATTTTTAAGGAATTACATACAAATATCTCCGCACATTGATACATTGAAGTAAACCACATTTCAGGGTTTTCTTAAAATCTGTACCTGCAGTATCATTTTGTACCTATGCAGTGTAGTAGATGTCCCAACCTATGTTTGAATGTCCCAACCTATGTTTGAATGTTGAGTGGTTTGTATTGCTTGTTGAGGCCATATATATGAGTTTCTGTATTATTCAGTTCCGCTTAGAAATAAACCTTTTTATACAGTAAGTTATTTTCAAAAGGTATAGTGGGTGCTGTTGGTGCCCCTGCAAGACCCCCTTTACCAGGCTGGTGCATGCAAACCCCAGGTGATAGGTATTGGTTTCTGGTGGCTCACAGCTGCTCTCTCCGGAGATTTGGCCTCTGGGAACTAGGATCCTGTAGCTAATTGGCTGACTGATTTGGAGGTGTCCAACTGCCCTTCTCCCTCTAGGTAGTACTGGTAGCAGTGCAATTCAGGCTGAAGTAGTACTCTAGCTGAGGCAACATTTTCCAATGTCTCTTTCCCCTGCTCTGTCTTGTTTTTTTTTTTTTTTTTTTTTTTTTCCCATTCCCTTTCCTGAGTGTATCCCCTCCCTTAGTCTTCTGCACTAGAATCCCTGTCTTATACTTTACCTCTAGGGAACCTGACCTAAGACAGTAGAGATACTATATGATCATTTTGAGTAGATGTAAACTGAGTAACATAAAAATTGATAACTTGCTTTCAAGAGACATATCTATTATAATTACCTGGAAATTATTGGGAATCTGGGCTCCAGTTTCTTGAGTTTCGAATAGCCAGCTATCCCTGAAAAGTCATCTGATTTCTGTGAGCCTGTATTTTCTGTTCTTTAATTCATGGAGTTTAAATGATGTGATACTCATTCTCACGTTGAAGATTTTCCCTTAAGGCAGGGGTTATTAGATGAAGATGCTAGGCTCCTCCTGATCCCCCCTCCCCCCACTCCAGTTTCTTGGATAGCCTTCAAAGATGCTTAGCTTAGCTCCTCTGGAATTAAACAATAGAGAATGACCATGTGTGAGTTACATGCGTAATGAAAAGGGTCCGAGGTACTGTGTAGCTGATTCCAAACTTCTTAGTGTCCTTTCTTGTTTCCTTTTTGCTTTTAAACGGATACTGTCATGAGCGAGTGCTGTTTAGACAAGAGAAGTGGGATAAGGCAGAGGAAGGAGGTTGGGAGAACTCTGGGTTTCTTCCTTAATTCCAAATATGCCACTTTTGTGTATGAGCTCCTGTCATCTTGAATATCCCTTTCCAAAAAGAAAGCAGATTTTCTAGTTTTTTTCATATTCTGTATTTACTACATATTTTAATTTGCTGGTTGAAGAGGCTGGGTCATGTTTGGCCATTGGACAGAAAAAAAATAGTTAATAATTTAATACAGAGGTTCTCAGTACTCTTACATCCCTTGCTTTTTTAGAACAACTACTCCGTTACTTTCCCCGTAACTTCCCCCATTACTTTTTTCTAGTGAAATTCTTTATAGGTAATAGAAGCTATCTACACTCATAATTTAAAAAATCCATTTAATGCCTTACTTGTACTGTATGGAACAACCACATACATTTCAGTATAAGCAGTTGGCCATGACTGCTCAGGAAAGTACATTAAAGTCATTCTTGAATCTTTGCCTCATGTGAGTACAACAGCTTTGGTGCCGGTCGACATAGCTGTGCTATTCTGGTGATTCAGATACCACCACCAATGTTTTCCTGGGATACCCAAAATTCAAAAATAGAGCAGAATTGATGGTAAAGCTTATTTAAAACAAAAACAAAAAGCCCAGTGTAACTATAACTTGCAGAGTAGTTGGATTCTTAGAAAAATCAATGTGTATTAAAACCACACAATGCAAAGTATTTAATCAGTAACAATTTACATCTTCATTCCATTTTACATTTAATTCTATTGAATTAGTCAAGGCTTAGGAGTTTTTTAAATTTTATTTTTTTTAGGATTTGTGCATCTCTCTGTGGGACACAGGACAGTTTCTTATTGGGTAGGATTAAGAATGCCTAACACACCTTAATAAATGCTGGGAGCATCATCTCAGTCATTGACAACCAAAATATCCCAAGACAATTTTAAAATCCTAAGTGGTGGTTAGGCCTATTGAGAGTTCCTGGCTTAAAGAAAAAAAAAGGGGGGGGGTAGCAAAACGATTATTCACATAATAGGATATTTCTAACCTGAACAGCCAGGAGTGACATTACTAATTACTACCTTTTATTAGTATCAAGTGGAACAACTTCTAAAATCTTAAATATTTATATCAAGGTAAAATGAAGGAAATTTTGACTTAAGTGCTTGAAGGGATTAGTAGTCAAAAACTGAGTCAGCTAAAGGCATAAACTACAGTGTCTTATGAATTGTAGCACTCTTATAAAACTTAGAATAAATGTAACCTGCTGGGCTCCACAGGTGATCCAAAGTTCTGATTTTTATACACCTGTTTCTGAGTAGCTGTGGAGTTGGTATACATTCAAGTGTGTTATATTGCATATCACAAATGACCAAGGGCTAATATTTGAGGAAATCCATTTGAGCTGCCCTTCAGTCATTTTTGTCTCCCCTGTAGGCTCCTTTTCCTTTGCCAGAGGAGCCTCTAAATCAACTTAACTGGTAGCAATTTCCACATTTAAGTGGATATTCTTGACTTGTATTTTTAGTTAGAATGAGACCTGTAGCAAGATCTAGGTTACTTAGACCTTTATTTTGATTGGTGCTGTTGAGCAATGTTAGATTTTTGGGTGGTACCTCTTCTTATGAGTGCAACTTTTAGGTGATATAGAACACAGAATAAGTAGCTAAAGGATATTTTTGATACGGGTAGAGAAGAGACAACTATAGAATGCTTTGCCTTTTGCTAGGATCTATATCACGTATTTGATCATAGGAGTTTATAGCTACACCATCTGGAAAGTGGTTGGCTTATTTACCTTTTAATTTTTATGATACATGGAGCAGCTCTTTCAGAAATAGTGCAAGATAGCTTCAGGTACAGCTGTTGGTTAAAAGAAACACCTCTAGGGGTGTGTGTGTGTGTGTGTGTGTATGTATTGTGAATCTGGATGACCTTATGAAAGGTAGAAATCTAAGTGTCTAATTATCTGTAGTGGTGAGAATGTAATTTTACTAGCCCACTGTGAATTTAAAAAGATTTTCTGGTAAATGTTTTACCTGTTAAAATGATCTAGAACATGTTTTTGTCTGTATCTCCTGCTCTTTCTTTTCTCCAGGCAGAACTACACATAAATCATTCCAAAACAATTAATGCTGCTTTAGTCACAAATTGATTTTTCTGTTCCTAGGGTATGTAGAATTGCTGCTCTACTTAGATTCTAAAATGAGGCTTTTTAATTGTGTTTTCCAGGAAGATATGAATTTAAATGAAGATAAGAAGGCACCATTGCGGGAAAAGGACTTCAGCATCAAAAAAGAAATGGTGTTGCAGTACATTAATACTGCTTCCAAGACAGTAAGTAAAACTGTCAAGTTGAAAAATACTGCTGCACTGTGTGTGATAGTGTGGAAAACAATGCATTTGTCTACGAAGTGCTTGTTTTTGGGCAACTGGAATCACAGGGCTTTTGAATGTATAAAGGCCACAAGTAGGATGTTTATTTAATTTAAAAATATTTCTCATACCTTCTAACACTACTTTTGCTTTTTAGCCCCTGACATTGATGAGGAACACGGACTGGGTTGGTTTCCTCCAAGACTTCTTTCCTTGTTAGTGAATTAAGATGGCTATTGATCTCTGATGTCACTTATAAATTGGGATAATATTGGTATTACAGAAAAGTAAGACTGATTTTACTCTACCTAAATCAGTTCATGTAATAGTGGCCGAGAGGCCTATCTTTACTGTGAGTTTCCCTACAGATAAAATGATCTCATAACAAATTATAAATGTAGATGTTGAAAGGAGCATTAGGACTCCACGTGGCTGCCAGTTTTCCAAAGAAACATGAAATATGTGGGTGGAAGTAATGAGTAAATGTCTAAGAAACCATGACTGGCACACAGAATCAATTACATTTCACGGGACAACAGATGAACTTGACCAGTCCTATAGAAATTGAACTGATGGACTGGGTGAAATCTACAAAATGGGAGCTAATGAAGAAGCAATCAGAAAGACAGTAGAAAATGAATTTAAAATAGAATTGGGTTGGAGAAAAACAACTAATACACTGCAGTTTTCACTGGATACTTTAAAGACCAAAATGTACGAAAATGTAAGTTACTTACACTTAAGCTCCATTTATCTACTAGACCAGTCAGTGACTTGGAGGCTTTTCTTTTGGAAGACAGACTCAAGTGATGTTTAATTTTTAAATATGCCTCGTGTTAGGCAGTTTGATGTTGAGTTTTAGAAGTCATTGAGTACTGTACTTTTTCTGGCTCCTTATGTAGATGGGCTTTTCTGCTATTGCTTTTTGACCCTAATGCTCCCTGGATATCACAAATGAGCATTAGGGACTTAAGAGTCCGAGTGCTTGTGTTGTGGATCAACTTATCCCTTTGATATTGAGCATCTTATTTTATCTCTGTGATTCTCAACGTCCTCATTCCTAAGATGGGACTAATGTTTATATCCTAGGCTTGTTGTTAGAATTTGTTTATGGAGCGCCTGGCTGGCTCCGTTGGTTAAGTGTCTGCCTTTGGCTCAGGTCATGATCCTGGGGTCCTGGGATCGAGTCCCATGGGCTCCCTGCTTGGCAGGGAGGCTGCTTCTCCCCGCCTCCCCCCCCCCCCCCCCGGCTCCTGGCTTGTGCTCTCTCTCAAGTAAATAAAATATTAAAACTAATTTGTTTATTTCATGAGGGGAACAGAACAGGTTTTCTAACTGGTGGCTGCCTCTTGTGGTAGCAGTGGTGGTTGTTAGCAATTATTTTTTCTTTGTGATTTGTTTGTTCTTGCTGTTGAAATCTTTACACCGTAATTACTGATGAACATTGACTTATATTTTTGAAGATAAATATTGACCCTTAGTGAGTCTATATCACATTTATTCAGTGTCTGTATATCGGGCAATGTTACAGCCAATGGAGTTGGAGCACCAAGACGGTCAATCATTGTGGCTTATGGAGCAACACAGGACACACGTAACAGAAACACAAACATACATGATAGGTGAAATGTGATGTGGAAAAAATATAGGGGGTGTGGAGACGGTATAATTGTTTTCCTTTTTTAGTGAAGTATTGTTAACATGCAGTGTTACATTAGTTTCAGATGTACAATAGGATTCACTAGTTCTCAACATGACTCAGTGTTCATCACTGGTAAGTGTACTCTTAATCCCCTTTATCTATTTTACCTGTTTCCCTACCCCCTCCCTGTGATGTAACTGTTGCATGGAGTAATCAGGGATGACTCCCCTGTTAGAGATTTCAAATCCCAATGAGCATGAATTCACTGAATAAAATTACAAGAGATACTACATTAGTTAGAACTGGTTTAGAAAATGTTGGCATAATAGTGCATTTTAATTCTTGAATTTCAGATAATAAACAGACTTTTTAATAGAACAAACTGCTTTGAACTTCATTAGAGTGGATCTATTTCAGTTTGCATTCACTGATTTTAAGCTTTAATCCTCTAATCGTTTTGGACTGAGGTTGGAATTTATTTACTAGAATTAGATAATTAGATTATCAGGATTGAAATAGATTAGTTATCTAAAGTATGATTAAAGCATTCACTCATTTAATTAGTATGTGGAGGATCATGGCTTTTCCTAGGAGGGTGCTGAATAATTTGGCAGATGGTTAACATTGTAGAAAGTTCAAGCTGACCAGTCATCTATTTTTGCTGTGGAAGTAGAAACACATTAACTCTTAGATGCAGACTTTGTCATACCAGTGTATTGAGGTTAATGAGTACAAAAAAAGCTGCTCTGAGGAAAAACCATCAAAATTCATAGATGGGTTGTTCTAGAGAGCATGGGGGTGTCTGTGTCAGAAAAACTTTTGTTATAAATTTAGCCTTAGACTTTGCTTTGAGATTCTCTTTTGTGGGGAAGCATTAATATTTTTGAAATTAGCACTGATGCCTGCAGGTGGTAATTTGAAAATGCTTTAGAAATATTAACCCTCAAACCAGCCCTAAAGTAGCTAAGCTGGGTTTTTGGAATAGGGAGGAAAAATAACAAATCATCAATCAAGCTAGGTTATTTCTAAGATCTTGTTTGTTTAGGTAGCCCAATAGTAATGCTGATTTTTTGTTGTTGTTGTTGTTAGAAAAGATTAACTTTTTTTTAAAGCCAAGAGCCTTATTTTAGAGGTTGCAAATGCCAGAGTCACATTTTTCCAACTTCCTACGGCATGGGTATGTGATCCAGGTTTAGCCGGTACTGTCTGCTGGGGGCTTCTGAGGAAGGCTTCCCTCCCTCATAAAAAGATCCAGAGCAGAAGACCACTTTTTTTTTCCTGTTACTTGACATGGTTGTGAGGGTATGGGATGCTTGGCACATGACTTCTTAGAGCTGCTGCTCTGGCCTTGTACAGTCCTGCCTCCAGATTCTTCCATCACGTGAGGTGATGCATATTCTTATTTAAACTACTTGAGGTTGGGATTTTGCTTTGCTGTTGTGCACATCTGGCTGGGCCCTCCTGATAGCCTCCCGATAGCCTTTTTCCTATGCAGGGTCTCTATTTCTAATTCACTCTGGAAATTATTCCCCTCATCAAGTATACTCCGCGTAGATGAGAGTGGGTACTACAAGGCCAAGTTGCCATTTCTTGCCTCAGATGCTCCTGGAGGTCTGCTGGCTTCCTTGGACTTTGTTTTCAGCTTTTGTCTTTCCTAGTCATTTGAGACCACAGACAACTGACTGCAAGGCTCCTCTGAGGCATTATTGGAGAAATTTGGTTAGTGTTGGACTATACTCCTTCAACCCTTAAGTATTTCTGTAGTTCTTGCTTAGACTTCTCAAGTAAGAAATAAATACCAAATATTAGAACAGAACTTTAAAAGGCACATAGAAAGTTTAACAAGTTTTTTAAACAATGTGATAAAATGAGTCTACATGGAGTTTGTAAATGTAGGATTGTAGGTTCTCATGTGTATGTGTACACGTTTATATATAGTGTATTTTGAAAGGTGTTACCAGGTACCTCTTGTCCTAGCCCAGTAGGGCATAATGTTCAAGTATGGAGGACGTGGTTTTGTCCAGTGTCGTTCATCTAGGCATATCCTGATCAGGAAAGCATTGTTTTGGGAAAATACTAATGATGTTCAGATTTGTATATTTTTCCCTAGGTAGAAAACCTAGAGCTCATTTCTTTTAGCCCTGATTTGTTAAAATTGTATTATTAGTGGGGGCATTTTCATACCTTTCAGAGTCTTATTTTTTGGGGGGGGGGTGTTCATTTTCATCTGTTAATTTTGGAAAACATTGTCAGATACGCATAAATCAAGTTCTTGTCTCACTTTTTGTCGTTATTAAAAGGTTTATATTTTAACCACTGGAAACTTAGCTGAACGAGACAGTTTTAATACATTCTTGCTAGTTAAAGTTAACATGGATTATTTTTTGGCTTCTATTTCAGGTTAGGGATTTGATCCAAGCACACTTGTAACATAAAACCTTAGTAAAAATTTGTGGCTGGTACTGGGTATTAGACGCTTACCTATTTATCAACAATGCCCTTGCTTACGGTATTTGTCGGTCTGTCTCCAGGTCTTGCTTGCTGACTAGGAGGAAGTATCAGAGCCCCAGGGCAATGAACCAATTTCTGGTTAGGAGTATTTCTTAATAATCTAACTGGCACTTTAATTTCCGTTTCTGCCTCTATAGGGCAGGTTTTATTTATGTGCAATTAAACTGATCTTCCAACAGCTCAGATTCATCCGGCTTCACTGGGAGTTGTTTCAGGCTGGCACCAGTGGTGGGTAACGTGCTCCTGCTATTACTGCGCTGTGTTCTGGCTTAGGCAGGAGATGAACATGAAGAAACCAGTTGTCTTCATTTTTTTTTTTTTTTCCCCCCTTATAATAGGTTCAAATTAGAACTGTATATTTTTGGTCTTTTAAAAACCTTAGGGGCACCTGGGTGGCTCAGTTGGTTAGGCATCCGCCTTCGGCTCAGGTCCTGGGCCTTCATGATCTCAGGGTCCTGGGATCAAGCCCCGCATCGGGCTCCTTGCTCAGTGTGGGGGAGTCTGCTTTTCCCTCTGCACCCCCCGCCCCCCGCCCCCCCGCTGGCACGCACACTCTTACTTGCAAATGAAATCTGAGAAAAACAACACTTTAAAGATACCTTTTTTTTTGATGTAGTGTTCCATGATTCATTGTTTGCGTATAACGCCCAGTGCTCCATGCAAAACGTGCACTCTTTAATACCCATCACCAGGCTAACCCATCCCCCCCGCCAAGAACTCTGTTTGTTTCTCAGAGTCCATAGTCTCTCATGGTTCGTCTCCCCCACCAATTTCCCCCCCTTCAGTTTTCCCTTCCTACTATTTTTTT